GTGCTACTCAGACCTAAGGCTTGTGGAGGGTACAAAAGGCCCTGAAAGGAAAGTTAGAGTCATTATCTCAAACCAGAGCTTTCAGCTTGAAGTTTGCCCCTTACTGGTTGCTCCTCCTCTGACTTATTTCTGTCAAGCCCCGCAGGACTTGGGCAGCCAAATGCCAAATTCACTGGCCAGCACCTGCCTGCCAGAGGAGACCTCCCCAGCACTGAGTTTTCACTGCAGTGTCTCAGGACTCTGCTTCATCACAGAACTGTAATTTAAAAATATAACTGAATGTGGAGTTTGCTGAGGGAGGAGAGTGCTGGGTGTTTTGGGGTGGGAAGTTATTTACTCCTTCCTCTTGTTAGGTCACTTGTTAGAAGCACGTGTACCTTTATTGCCCAGGCAACCACTGGGCTTTTCAGTAGGAATCACCTGAAGCTGGACATGGCTGAATTCTTAAACCAGCCCCACTTGGCCCTCTGGCTATGAACTAAAGGACTCCCAGCTCTTCCTGTGCTGATACATGAGGCTGCATGTTGAAATCCCAATCACACATTCAGATTTCCAAGTTGACAATTGCAGATGTAACACCAAATGTGCTCTAACCTGGTCCCTTAATACCCTGCTCCCTCTATACTGGGCCTGACTTAGGTCTGAGGAGTTGATGTGTTTGTGGAAAATACCAGTGATAAAGCCTGTCCTGTAATGAACACATGGGAGGTGTGCCATGGGAATCAAGCATCTGAAGGAACCTGCAGGGCCAATTATGGTTTTACAGACTTGAGAGTGTGTTCTGGTAAGAGACTGGAGACTGAACCACAGCTTCCAGCTTCTACCCTGCTTTTAGTTATCTGTAACCACTGCTAAAAAAAAAATCTCTTACCATCAGTTTATTATTGCCTAATGTTTTCCTTTCATGTGGGCTCTTGAGTCATTTTTTACTTTCAGTTTTATTAATGTCATGCAATCTAGCTTTCAAAATTTGGTTCTTCGGAATCAAGTCTCTTAAATTGGTTATAGACTTTATCTAGGGATAATAGTTTCTAATGAAGAGAGTTTATACATCTCAAATTCCTGTGTGACAGTGTCATGATATTGCAAGCCAGGGTTGGACAGCTGTTGGTGTGAAACACCCAGAAACCAAAGTGTGTGCTGGAGTGAGGATGGTGTCCCTCAGTCCTTGGGCAGGTCCTGAGCCCCAGGTCAAAAAAATCTTTAAAGGTTTCCATGTGAGGGTGGATGGGTACAAACACACCTTGTGTAAAAGGAAGGTGTTTATGTTCAATACATTAATTATCAGTGGAAATCCAGGCTTTTTTAAAGATGCACACTCTACCAGCTGTGTGGTGATCTAAGCAGATAACTCGGATCTAAGGTGCTGTGTGGCTTCTGCTTTTGCTGAGTTACAGCACGAGGTGGAACAGCTTAGCAGGTTTTGCTTCATGAGGTACAAACATGTTCCACTTCATTTGGAACAGAGAAGTGGAGCCCTGCCCACGGAGCGCTGCGGGGTGTCTCATCTGCTGGAAACCCTGAGTGTCCAACAGCAGCTGCTGGGCTTCGTGACAGCTCCACAGGTAAAAGCTCTGTGCTGAAACTCACTCACCTTGCTCACTTTGCCTGTCTCTAATTTAAGCAGGATGGCTTTGGAAGCTTCCAAGGAGGCTCCTGCTGCCTTCCTGCTGTCTGATCCTGGGGGGCTGGGGGCTGCCCCTGGCCCTGACTGTGCTGCTTTCCATTGTGTCACCCGGAGCTCCCACGCAGCAGGGCAGCTTTTGGGAGGCAATGCAGAGGAGCTGAGCTCTGCCCCTTGTGCACCCAGAGATGGAAAGGAAACGTTTGCCACCTTGGGGCCTGTTTTTCTCCCCTGTTAGATGTGGTTGCAGCCTCCGTCCAGCTGGGGTGTCCTCTGTGAGCTCGCAGCAAACAGTCCCTCTGTGCTGTTTCTCTTTTCCCAGAAAAATAGCTGAAAGCAGCAGCTACTGAAACTTCTGTGAGTTGTAGTGACACAGTTACAGTTGGTTTGTCTTGAATGGGCTGAGACTGGCTGCTCCCAAGAAGAAATAAAACCATCAAGCACTGTCCAGGCCCCCTGGCCAGCAGAGCCAGCTGGTGTTTGCCAGGGCTGGGGCAGGGCACAGAGCCTGCAGAAGGGCTTGGGAATGAGACCCTTGGGAATGTCCTGTTCTCCCTTCAGCTGGGGGTCAGGAACTCAACACCTGCGTGTTCTCTTGGTCTTCCTCACAAGTGGCCACAGCACCTTGTTCTGTTTTGTCCTGTGGCACCACAGAATGACCCTGCTGCTCTGTTTCTCAGATTAGATTCCCCTTACCTCATAGCCACTCTACCTCATTTCCCTGCACTTACCACAGGCACAAAAGAAATGAAAGCAGGAAAGTAATATTTTAATTTCTCTTTCTCATCTGCTTTGGCCCCTTGGGTTCTCTCTCACCTCAGGACAGAGCCCTGTTTTGGTGAATCCAGGGCTGCTGGCTGCTTGTTGGAATCAGGGTGAAGAGGACAGAGCACCTTGCTCCCTGGAAGAGGGACGTGTTAAGCACTGTAATGCCAGGCCAGAGCTGTTAGCAGTGGACTTTGAAACCTGTTCTTGTGTGTGAACATCTGAACGTCCTTGTCATGGCTTCACATGTGCAACAAATGCTCCCAGCAAGGAGAGCAGTTGTTGAGGAAATAAAAAACAGCACCTTTATTTGAGAAACCAAACTGTTAATAAACAGGTAATAAAGAAAACAACGTGAAGATGTTGGTGCTAACTGCAAAGGCTGGGTGAGTTCTGGTGCCTTCCACACCCCACTGAGGCTTCAGCAGATGGAGGCCCACTCCCTTTGGAGGCAGCTCTCACAAGCATCCATACCAGTGTTCAGTCAGAAATCCATCTTTTTGTTCAAACTCCTTCCGATTTGGCTCACAACTAGTGGCTCCTTGGGAGGCTTTTTATTCTGTGAGATTTAAGAGCTCTCTGCTGCTGGAAATCATCTCTCTCTTCACAGGTTTTCCACACGCTGTCCATCCCTCCCTGCCAATCTGCTCTTGAAAAGACAGATTTGAACCTCCTTTCTGTCCAACAGTTCCTGCAACTTCTTCCAGAGCCTCTCTGGAGTTGAACAAAGCCTTGTGGAGTGAGTTCCAGGAGGGTCTGCAGCTGCCCAGAGCTGTGTGTGAGCTCTCAGGGGAGCCGGTGGGCTTTGCCTGCTGGAAGCTCATGTCCAGCTGAGGAGCCTCTCAGCTTCAGACTTTTCTTTCTAGCACATTGTTTTCTACCCAAAGAGCTTGATCTGCAGTCTTTGTTTCTTGCCTTCTTTTCTTCTGATTCAATTCTCTGTCCTCATGATGTTGAGTCCTGTGTTTTTGAATGCAAATGATTCTCAACTTTCGCAGTTGCTCTTTGGTGTAATTCCTGCAGCCCTGTTGGCTTTCAAGAGTTGCTTTTGAACATTTCCACTAGTCATTAGTGTAATAGGAAATATTTGTTAATTGCTTCCAGAGAGATTCTGTAAAAAACATGGTGAGAGCCTCTCCTACACAGAGGTTCACACTTCAGTTTTTGTTTTGAGTTTCAGGGTTTATTTTCTGTCAGGTATTAGATCTGGATTATTGTTCAAGTCCTGCTTGCTTTGGCTGCTTCAGGCAGGTCCCTAAATCCTGCTGACACAAACTCTTAGCTGCTGGCTGATTCTCTGCCATCAACTTCAGCATAATTGTATGTCTTGTTAATTAAGAGCTCCCGCCTCTCCTCTGGGGGTGAACTGGGGAAGGAGAGGGTTCTTCTGAGCAAATCCTCTTTTGCAGTCTGTGTAATGTTTTCTGTTGGTTTGGTAAAGGGGAACAATTCTCTGATGAGGGCTATGGAAGGAGTTTCCATTGGAAAATATTTCTTCCTGTTCAAATGACATAACAGGGCTGCTGGAAACAGGGTGTGCAGGCTGGCTCAATAGGGGGATAGGGGGTGGAGGCAAATCTGACACCCCTTTTGTCCTTCTCATGCCCTGTTTTCCTGCCCAGCTGTCCTTGTTAGGAGGCCTCAGCCTTGACTAAATTCTGGCCCTAGGCCTTCCAGCAAAATTCACCTGACTGAATGTGCCTACCTGCAGCAAATTTTCCTGCCATTATTTCAGTAGTCCTGTTCATATCCTGTGTCTTTGAGCACAGGAAGCCAGCAGAACACAGAGCCTGCAGGCACCCCAACCTGCTTTTTTTGGACTAGAGATCTCCAGGGGTCCCTTCCCCGCCCAGCCATGCTGTGACTCTGTGATCCTGATGTGCTGTGCAGACACAGCCCTGCCTGGCACCATCTCCCAGCCAGTGTCTGTCATCTTGTGGTGTCTGAAGGGGGTGGCAGGAAAACAGAGTGACAGCAGGAGCAGCAGAGGGAGAGGTCCCTGGAAGCATGCTGTGCAATGAACATTTCTGATGGTAAAACAGCCCCCAGCCTTGCTTTGCCACCACATGGGCTATTAGCAGGCTCTTGATCTGGGCATTCAAAAAAGAAGGTGCAGCTGAAAGGGCTTCAGTTGGTTTCCTTGCCTCTCCCTCTCACCCACCCTTTAAAGAAGCATCTTTGTGAAAGTGGGAAGCAGTGGGTGTGGAGTAAGAACACTTGTGACATTTAAGGGAGACTGCTACTCTCTCCTCAGTCCCACCTCAACAAGCTGTTGGCATTAACACAGTGTCAGAAAAATGTGGAAGTGGATCCTCTCCAGGCAAAGCCATCGTGTGACCCTCTCTTGTAATGGCTGTGGGAGGGGATGGGGATCTGTCCTTGGGTGGCTGTTCTGGGACAAAGACAGGGGGACTGAGCCAGGCTAGGTCTGACCAAGCTTGACCTTGTTAGAGTTGGATTTTTGTTGCTTTTGTGTCTCTTAAACCCTGAAGTGTGAGGAAGAGCCAGATGGGGTTGTTGAAACCTGTGCTGTGGATTGCTGCTGAAGCAAAGGGCTGGTGAATATCTTCAAAGAGCAGTGGGGTGTCTGGCGGTGCAAGACTTTGTCAGCATGTCTGACTTATTGGTGCAGGCAAGGCTGAGCCCTTGCTTTGGAGAAACAAGTGTACAAAGCTTCAAACGTGCCCTTTTCAGATCCCAGTTTTGATGCTCAAGATCAAAGCCTGTGTATTGTGATTGCTTCCTTCAGCCACAAGAGACTAATTTCTGGTTTGCTCCGGTATTAAGCATTTCCTTTTGTTGACACTACCCCATAGAAATACACACTTCAGCATGGGTATGTAAAGTGAAAGAAAAAGCATTCCTAATCCCTTGTGTGCACCTGTAAATCTGTGGGGAAATCTCACTGTCCCCACCTAGAAATCTGCAGTACATGAGGAATGGAAATCGAGAAATGGAAATGTCGCTGTCTCTCCTCATTAGGATATTGTAATGAGCTCTTAACAGCGCTGGCCCTTGCAGCACGGTGTGGACTCTGTGTTTTCCCTTGGAAGGCCAGAGGGCAGCCCCGGAGCTGGCTCTGCCCGGGCTGTTCCCGCTGGGGCAGCTCTGCTCAGGCTGCCTCCTGCTCTCCGAGGCTTTTACCGGGCAGGAGAGCGCCTGGCGCCGTGCCCGGGCCGTGCCCTGCGGAGCGCCGGGGAAGGGAAGGGAGGGATGCTCGCATCCCACGGGCTGGGTTCCGCATCCCCTGCCGGGGAGGACTCCCGGGCTCCGTCCCTCCCTTGCGGTGCAGGACGCCGGCGGCTTTGTCGTTCCTGCAGCTCGACAGCCTTGCCCGCGGTCGGGCGGCGCGGAGGCAGCAGATTTTGGGGAGCGGCTGCGGGTGTGGGACCGCGGAGCCCCGGGCGGCAGCGCAGCCCCCGCAGCGGGGCTGTGGGAGGAGGGTGGGTCCCGGCCGGGCCGGAAGGGGCTCTGCTGCCGATGCCTCGAGGCTTTCGGAGTCGCAGCATCCCTCGCAGCCGCACGGATGCAGCCGCAGCGGGGCAGAGCCGCGGCCGGCCCGCCGGCGTTCGGCTGCCGCAAGGACGAGCCCAGCAGGCAGGTCCGGCCCGTGCCGCTGCCGCCAGTGCAGCAGAACCTGAACTATTACCCGCAGATCTTCTGGCTGGACGGCTGTGCCGAGGCAGGGGCTCCCTGTCCCCCCGCTGCCCCCGCGGCTCCTTTCCCACCGCCCGTCCCCGAGCGGAGCAGAAAGCCGCGGAACAAGGACAGGGAAAGGAGCAGCGCCGGCTTCCTCGTGATGTTCTTGCTGATCCTGGTGGCCTTCACCGGAGTGGGGCTGAGCATATTTAAGATTTTTCACCTGGAGAAGGAAGTGGATGAGCTCAGAGAGGTGAGGTCTGCCTGGATGGGAGCAGGTCCCTGGGGAAATGGGGAAAAGGAGCCCTTGGAATGAATGGTGGCTGAGATGCCCCCAAGGGCACGGTGGTGACATTTCGGTGGCTGCTGGCACAGAGGAAGGGGGTGCTTGTTCCCCTGGGGGACTGCTGTGTCGGGATATCCCTGCGCTCCTGAGCGCTGCCAGCTCTCTCCCTGTGTATTTCTCAGCACTTTGCAGCCCCCCATGGAGCTAAATCCCGGGATTTAACCACTGTCAGAGGCTGCTCACGCTCTAAGCCAATGTCCCTCTTCTCTCTTGCCAGTCTGCCAGCGCCGAGCACATCCCTCCAGCCTCTCAGAAACTCACAGGTGAGTCCATGCCTGCAGCAGGAACCCAGTGAAATTGGAACTTTCCACAAGAACCTGCCAATTTTTCCAGATTTCATTTAGGGGGGAAAAAAAAGTTTCAATTTGGGTGGAACAATTTAAAACTTTGGTTTGAACTTCCAAACTATTGCTTTTCTTTTGCATTCCATGTTAATATTATAAGTGAGGATATCCTTTTCAAAAATGGCCAAGTCAGAAAGAAATTTTCAGTCCTCTTGACAGTTTTTTTCCTAGCTCTGAAAAGTTTTATTTTTCACCCCCTGAGAAGTTTATTAATTAGAAAATTTATTTTCAAATATGTTCTGATATGGAATTTTAAACAAAAATTAAATAGCAAACTTCTTGGGAAAGGGTTCTCATCAACTCCTATACCAATAAATTTTCCCCTTTAGGGGAAGGGCAGCCCTCATTTGAACTGGATGCTCAGTGCACTGATCACAGGCTTCTTTAGCAGAGGCTGAACATAAATAATAAACCTTAATTTCTTGAGGGGGCTGGATAAAGATATAGAAACAAGGAAATAGTGTAAAGGAGAAAGGGGAACGGGGAGGAAAATTTAATTGGCCCAAGAAAAGAAAAGGCTGCTTCTGAAATTAAAGATGAAATAGATGTTCAGAATCACTGAACAGAACACCGAATCACTGGAATGGGCCCATCTCTCCAGAGAGAACTCAGCCCTGCAGGGCAGGCAGAGCTTTCCCAGCTGTGCTCTCCCTTACTGAGGACAGTCCAGTTCCTGCCTGCCCAGTGGGATGGAGACTTTGCAGGGTCTCAGGGGGTTGGAGGGTTTGCAGGGTCCCCCCTGCTCTCTGGGCTGACTTCTCCATGGAGCTCATGGCCAATGTCTTCCCTATCTTTGTGCAGGGCAGAGGAAGGAGGTGAGGAGGGCAGCCCATGTCACAGGTACGTGTGGGGGAGCAGGGCTGGCACCTGGGATGGGATCAGAGGGTGCCAAGGCAGCTGGGATGGGGTCAGAGGGTGCCATGGCAGCTGGGATGGGATCAGAGGGTGCCAAGGCAGCTGGGGTGGGGTCAGAGGGTGCCAAGGCAGCTGGGGTGGGGTCAGAGGGTGCCATGGCAGCTGGGATGGGGTCAGAGGGTGCCAAGGCAGCTGGCATGGGGTCAGAGGGTGCCATGTCTGGAGTTATGAGGAGCCCACCCCACACAGGCTTTGCTGCTCTCCTCGTGTGACACGTCTGCTCTGATGGTGGAAATTTGCTCCGTGGACAAAACCCTCCCCCTCACTTATGCTTCTCAGTGAGGCCTGGCTTTACCTTGGTTTCTGGGGTGTGCAGGGCAGGAGTGGCACTGGGCTGGCATTGGTGAGGGGTGAGGCCCAGGAGGACTCTCCACGCCGCAGACAAGGCTTGGAGAACAGCTGCCTTGGGATGTGGGGCGTGACCTGAGCAAAGAACACCCAACCAAATGTACTTCCCACCCTTTTCTTTGGTCTTGTTTGGGCTTCCAGGCAACCCAGCCCAGCAGGACCTGCCTCTGGAGTGGGAGCCCACCTCTGGCCATGCCTACACCAGTGGCATCCAGTACCACAAGCGGGGGCTGCTGGTCAGCGAGCCGGGGCTGTACTTCGTGTACTCCAAGGTGCTGTTCCGCGGCAGCGCCTGTGACAGCCAGCTCCTGTCCCACGTGGTGTACAAGAGGAACCCGGCCTCCCCAGGCAGCCTCGTGCTCATGGAGGACAAGGCCACCAACTTCTGCATGGGCCAGAGGATGTGGGCCCGCAGCAGCTACCTGGGGGCTCTCTTCAGGCTCAGGAAGATGGACAGTTTGCACGTCAACGTCTCCAAAATCGCCCTGGTAAACTTTGAGGAATCCAAGACTTTCTTTGGTTTGTTTAAGCTTTGAAATGGAGCGTGGCTGGCAGCCCCTTCACACGCACACCCCCATGGATGCGTGAGGGCTGAGTGCTGCCTGGGCACCACAAAACCCACCCAGAAACCTTGTTTGGGCTTCAGCATGAGGGGATCCAAGCAACTGGGAAAGGCTTAAAAGCACCAGGGCTGTGCTGCATCAGCCTGAACAGAATTGCACACGTTCTCCTTACAAAAACCCCAACAAACTCAGAAAGTCGTGTGCTGAAACCCTGCTGGAACTCACTACTTGCTGCCTGAGAAGATGGTGGGACCTGCTGCTCCCCGTGGTGTCACAGCTCTGCTGGGGACAGCTGGGGGGTTAAGGAGTGTCTGGGTTGTGCCACGACCCCGCAGTGGTGGGGATGAGCAGTGTGAACATCTGCTGCCCCCAGCCATGGCTGGCACTGCCCAGCACTGGGACTGCTGTAGCACAGGCACCTCCTGCTAGCTGGGCTGGGAGGGGTGCTGTGTTCATTTTCTGTTAAGCTATGGACTGTTCCCATCCCAGGAAATGCTCCCCAACCTCTTTATTTAACTCATCCCAAGTGCCTTGCAAGGAAGATGCCAGGAGCAGCAGTGTCCTGAGGGGTGTCCCAGAAGTGGCAGCGTGCGGTGGTGGGGATGGTGGGGTGGCCATGGGCTCTCTAAGCAGCACAGCAGTGCAGGGCAGTGAGGCTTGAGGTGCAAGCAGCATCTCGTGCCCCCTCCTGCCCCTTCAGCACATGGGGGCCTGGTCTGCCCCCCTTCCTGATGCAGCTGGTGACATCCTGGCACCTGTCAATTGCATGACTTTGGCTGGGCCCTTGCCATGAGATGTTCTCTCCTGAGAAAAACACAGATGGTAAATATATATTTTTCTAGTGAGTGATGCTGTCCTCTCCTCATTTGGTGCAACAGGCTGGGCCATGGCCAAAGCACTGCAAGGCCTCTGTGATCAGGGCTCAGTGCCTCAGTCCTTCTCCAGCAGCGTGGCAGAAATCTCATCCCTCTTTGCTGCCTGCTTGGCACTGCACAGTGCCCTTTCCATGAGGCTTTGGAGCTCCAGCATTGAAACATCAGGATCTGGGGCCTGGGAAGATGTGGTGTGGGCAGCACAGAGCAGGCAGCCCAAGCCCATCAGGAAGGGGCTGATCTCAAACCACAGGTTAGAGCTGGAGAGGAGCCAGGCACTGGTGGCTGAGCAGAAGTGCTGCTGTCTGTCCCCAAAGGCTCCACCTGAGTGACCTCTGGCCCCAGAAGCACTTCTCACAGAGTGGTCTGAAGGGCAAAGAAACAAATTGGTGCAAAAAACCCCCAAACCCTATTTGTTCATCCTGGTGTCAGCTCCACGGAGTTCTACCCCTGGGGCTGTCACTGCCACCAGGCAGGACACAAGGGCTGCAGCTGGTCCATCACCACCTCTGCCCCTGCTCCTGCCCTCCTGCAGCTCTGCTGTTGCTCTCAGTGAGGGTGGCTCCTCAAGCAGCCTGCAGCATTTGTTTCCTTTGCCACTGTGCTGCTCTCAGCTCGGTGTGGTTTGTGTTGTCTGCTTCAGGGAAGTTTATTTCTTTGAAACTTCTCAGTGGTCTGGCTACTGCTGTGGCCGGTGGGAGGGGAAAAGTGCAGCCCTGCTCATTCTGCTGATGTTTCCACTGCATTTCTCAGGGTGAAAAATATCTCAACAGGATGAAGTTCAGGGGTCTTCTGGCTTGACTTTTTCTCTGCACATATCAGAGGGTGAAACTGCACAGCACAGGGATGGAGCTGCTGGAACCAGACCTTTCCCGGAAAGGCTGGAAATTGCTGTCCTCTTCTGATTGCTCTTTGGGCTGTGCTGCTCTCCTGGTGATGGGACATCCAAGTGGGGAGTGGGAAGCTCTTTGTGCAGGTGTCTCTGCAGCCAAACCAGCCAAGCACACCAGGTGCTTCCCTTTTTACTGGGGAGCAGCCTGGAGAGAGGCAGGGTATTCCTGGCCCACAGGAAACCTGTCCTGCTGCTCCTCTGTCTGCTGGCACGGGGTTGGAAGGGCTGGGAGGATCCCAAAGCCTCTCTAGGTCACCCCACAGTAACCATGCAGGCTGTGGCTGCAGTTAGCTCTGGGGCAGGACGAGCTCTGGCCCTTGGGTGGGGATGCATTCCTGGCCCACAGGAAACTTGTCCTGCTGTAACCATGCAGGCTGTGGCTGCAGTTAGCTCTGGGGCAGGACGAGCTCTGGCCCTTGGGTGGGGATGAGATCTGTCCTCACCTGAAGTGCCAAGGGCACCCCAGAGCTGCACCTTTCAGGGGCAGGGGCACAGAGGGGTGGGCAGGGGCACAGAGGAGTGGGCAGTGCTGTTACAAACAGTTCTGGTCCTTCTGAGGAGGGCAGAGCTGGTGCAGGACCAAGCTGGGGTTCCCAGGCTTGCTCCTGGCTCGGGCACAGCTGCCAGCGGGATGGGTTCTGCTCTGTGATCCCTCTCTCAAACATCCCCTGGAGTGCCCATGCTGAGCTCCTGGGCTCTGCCTGCAGGCTGGGAGCGAGCTCATGGCAGGATTGGACCCTTTCAATTCATAGGCTGCTTGTGCCACAGTGACTTTAATAAAGTCATTAACTGATCTAGCAAATTAGCTGCTCATTTAAAGACATTTTTGCTAATTGTTTCAATTAAATACTCAATGAGTGTTTAATGCTGACATTAGGCTCTCTCAGGCTGAGAGAGTTGGGGTTATTCAGCCTGGAGAAGTTTCCAGGGAGGCCTCAGAGCCCCTTCCAGTGCCTCGAGGGGATCCCAGAGAGCTGGGAAGGGACTTGTGACAAGAGCATGGAGTGACAGGAAAAAGGGAAATGGCTTTAATGTGAAAGGGTACAGGTTTAGATTGGACATTGGGAAGAAATTCTTCCCTAAGAGGGTGAGGAGGCCCTGGCACTGCTCAGAGAAGTCATGGGTGTCCCATCCCTGGAAGTCCCAAGGCCTGGTGGGATGGGACTTTGAGCAAGCTGGCCTAGCAGGAGGGGTCCCTGCCAGAAACTGGGGTTGTTGGAGCCGTGTTTAGGCCAAACCATTCTGTGATTTTTAATAGCTCTTGGGCTGTACTTAAAATTTTTAAAATAAAAACAAATTATTGAATTTTAATTGGAACCTACCAAGTATTTTGTTCTCTCCCCAGAAAGGGAAGGGTCTGTGCACGAGAAAGGCTATCCCAGGTGCACCAGCAGGACTGAGTTTGGGATGTTTGGGTTTTCCCTGCCCTGCAGGCTGTGGTTGCAGTGCTCTGAGCTGACATCCTCTCCCCTGATGGAGCAGCCTGGGTCAGGTGTGGAGGTGCCTCAGGGGTTTCAGCACCATTTACAGGCTCCAGAGACCCTCACTCTGCAGAGAACGTGGCTGACAAGGAGTGAGGAGCCCAGATCATCTCCTGCTCAGAGTTCTCTGGTCTGCTCCCTCTGCCTGGCACACAGACAGCTCCTGTGGGCAGCTGAACCCTGCCCAGAGGGTGCCCATGTGTTTGGATGTGCAGCTGCCCAAGTGGGGCTCTGCATGGCAAATATTTATTCTGTTTGTTCAGCACAGAGAGCTGCTTGGCAGAGATTTAGCCTCTCTTGGCTGATGTCCATTAGATGCTGTATCCTATTTACCTGAGACCAGGTTCCACTGCCTTACAAACCTTGTGTAGGCTCAGGATGGGCTGTAATCCATGGGTTACATCACAGACTTCTCTTTTAAATCTCTTTTTACCTCCTTTTTTTCCTCGAGGCCAGCCTTGGGCTCTCTGAATTTCTGTTACAATGTCCTGTGTGGTATCACTCCTTCCAGCCTGAGGAGCTGCACAGACTGTGGCACATTTTTGCCAGGTTGGGAAGGAGATTGTCTGGTTAGAGACAGGAGAAAGGGAAGAGGGGTTGATTCAGATATTGCTTTTATTCTCCTAGTGCTCTGACACACGGGGGTATTACATCATGGTTACAGAAGTGGAATTTTAGGCATGACTAAGTGGCTGAGGTTCAACGCAGCAGAAAGGAGGAGATGAGTAAAGACAGAGTAATTTTGCTGCAAGGTGAGGCAAGTTGCATGTGAATTTCTGGTTGATTTTAATGACTAAAAAAAAAAAGGAAATGAGGAAGAAGAAAAGCTTGACAGCTTGTCGCTGATTGATCTCTCTGGGTAATGAGGAGAGCCAGGTGCTCTGTTCCTGCACATGGCCTGTCCCAGGAGCTGTGGGAACAGGGACAAAGGCTTTCTGCTCTGGGGACTCCCAGGTTTGATTGGAAATGAGCTGCTCATTCCTCTAGGTAGCAAAGAGACTCAAAGCTGCAGGTGGAATTTCAAACCACAACATGCTTTCCTCTCCCTCAGCTGCCTCCTCATTTCCCAGCACAGGCTGTGAGAGAATCAGCTTCTCTCCCCTCTTACAAACTCACCACAGATATTTTATTTTAACTGTTCCTCTCTCTTCTTCCCATATTCCACAACTATTTTCCTTCAACAACAGTTGAAAAAGTCTCTCTGTCCAGATTTGTTTTGTTGTTGGGGATTCCTCTGGCTTCCCTTGGTCAGGTCATTCCTGGGGACTGAAAGCCAGCTGGTCACCTAATTGCCTGGGGAATTCACCTTGGACAGCTGCCCTGGCAGGGGAATAGCTGCCTTTTGAATGGCTTCCAGGTCTGGACTACGTGTTCTCCTCAGCTCTGAGCTGGGGACATGCATTTCCCCTGGAGTTTCTCTCTCCTCGCTCCTGTGAGGTTTATGTCAACACAGAGGCAAAATATGTCAGAGAAAAAGGCATCAGACAGGAATATTTGTGCCTCCTAATAAGATTTCTTCATGAAGAAGAAATTGAAATTATCTGAGATTTAATTTTCATCACAGTTCTGAAAGAGAAATGCAAACCACGGAAGATAAGAATGCACAAAGGAGAATGCCATTTTCTCAGATTCCCTGCTTGACACCAGCAGTGAAGGAGCAGGAGGATTTCAGCACATTCAGCAGTTAAATCCCATTGCTGTACTTGGTTTGAGCCAGGGTGCCTTGGCTGACTGCTCTTTTTCCTTAAGCAGCAGAAGGAAATGATCATTTTGTTTGAAATCTCTGCTCACATCCTGTGCAGACCCTGCTTGCTGTGCTGGGGGAGGTGACTCAGATAAGGCTCAGATGGAAAGAAGGGGATGGTAATTTCCAAATTCGGTTTGAACCATCCTGAGGTCCTGTCTCCCTGCCCTTGAAGAGTTTATG